TGTGAACTATTGAAAGAAATCCTAGTAATAAGAGGGGTAGGTCAAACAGGAGCAGGTCCAGAAAGAGATAGAACATAAAATAAAGAGTGTAGTTTAACAAGGACAAGAAATATAATACAAACCAGGAATACTACCAGGAGCAGAAGCCCATGTGATCAGGAATTCTTACTGGCCATGAAACCAGAAGACAAGATAATAAAAGACGCTAAACAACAAAATCGCAAAACTGGAAAAGTAATTTGAGTGTACACAGAGGTGCTATATGGAAGAGAACCAGTGCTATCACAGAGGTGGAGATGTACAGAAATGATGTCCACTAATGGGGTTTGTAAGACTAAAGCAAGGCTAATGGCACAAAGTTTCGAAGAGAAACTGCTGGATCAAGATAGGTTAGATTCACCAATGGCAGGAGAAATAATTTTGAAAATGTTCTTGCCTTTGATAGCAACAATTCTTGGGGGAATTGTAGATCAATAGATATTAAAGCTGCATTTCTTCAGGGAGATCAGATCAGGATGGTCGTATTTTGTCATCCCACAAAAGAGCATCCAAATGCATTGGGAACACTCAGAAAGTTAATTAAATGTTGCTACAGCCTAGATTGATTTGGTACATTGATAATAAGTCATCATGAGATAGCATGTACTCAACGAAATATGTGAATGAGAAAAGATTGAGGATTGATATTGCAGTTTTAAAACAGATGGCGGAGAAATGGAGAGATCAATGGAGAGAGAAATGGGTGGATCACAGCAGTCAGCAATCTGATTGTTTTACAAGGAAAGCAGCAGGTTCTCAGAAACTGTTGGATGTACAAGTGAAAAGATATTTGGAACTTTAATGTGTAAAGAAAATCGTTGGAACATAATCAGTTCTAATTTTGTTTGACTTTTTATTTCTGACTGATTTATCTAAAAAGCAAAGGGGTATCTGTTATCATCTCATATGGCCTGAAGGAATGCTGGTGATCTAAGGAAATTGGTGATGGATATATCAATGAACGGGTTTGAATTGGTTGTATAAATATGGAGAGCTAGTAATTCGTAAGGTGTGTGAGTTCTGCAGTGTGGCTAGTTAGAACAAAGCTCCCACATAAGAGTGTGGACTTGAATTCTGTTTAAATACAGTTTTTTTTTCTAGTATAAGAAGAACATGGATTCAATTCTTTGTTGTTGGCACCAATCAGGTCCACATGGACTGTCCTCCCACATGGGTCCCCAAGGATTCCACATTTACCTGCATAGTATAGTCTGGAGCTAATGATAGTGGAGGGCTACACTGTCCTGCCATCATGCAGATGAGCTAGAATCTCTCCTGTCTTTACCACCAGCTCCTGGCATGTGTCAGGAGGTGGAAACTCAAAATGTTTGGCCACATTATCTTCCATGGCCATCAAGTGCTGAAGCAGGACTTGAAACTGGAACTTCAGGCTCAGAGACAGTGTTACTACCCACTGTGCCTCATAAGACCATTTTCATTTTTTTTTAATTCACTCGTGGAATGTGGGTGTTGATGGCTGGGCCAGAATTTATTGTCCGTCCCTAGTTGCCCCTTGAGAAGACACAGTCAAACAACACTTGGTGTGGCACAGTGGCTCAGTGGTTAGCACTGCTGCCACACAGCACCAGGGACCCAGGTTCAATTCCACCCTCGGGCGACTGTCTGTGTGGAGTTTGCACATTCTCCCCGTGTCTGCGTGGGTTTCCTGCGGGTGCTCCGGTTTCCTCCCACAGTCCAAAGGTGTGCAGGTTGGGGTGGATTGCCCATAGTGTTCAGGGATGTGTGGGTTATGGGGGGATGGGTCTAATTGGGATGCTCTGAGTGTCGGTGTGGACTTGTTGGGCCGAAGGTCCTGTTCCACACTGTAGGAGTTCTATGATCTATGAACCATTTGCCCCATTCTCCCTGTACACAATGGTGAAGAATCAGACTCAGTATGAAAGGCACCATTTTCCATTCAGTTACATGACAAGTTACTGCACAGTTCCGGCTGTTACAAAACAACCACATTGTGATATATCAAAGTACATTAATGTCAAGATTATGATCTCCAAAGAATAAAATTAATGGAAGATAACTGAAAGAACAGTTATAAAAACACATGATACTGATTTGGAAAGTTGCAAATGATCCCATTAAATTTTGGTGAGCTACTTCCTTGAACCGTTGCAGTCCATGTGCTGTGGGTTGACCCACAATGCCCTTAGGGAAGAAATTCTAGGATCTTGACTGAGCAACACCGAAGGGATGGCAATATATTTCCAAGACAGGACGGTGCGTGAGTTAGAGGGGAATGTAGTGGTGATCCCGTGTATCTGCTGCCCTTGTTTGATTTGATTTGATTTGATTTATTGTAGTCACATGTACCTAGGTACAGTGAAAAGCTTTGTTTTACGGGCACTACAGGCAGATCATAGCAAACAAGGACATACCAGATCATAGGGTGAGGTACACAAGGTTACAACTGCACAGGAGGTGCACAAAGCAAGATCAACATTGTTTAAAGTTAGGAGATGTCCATTCAGCAGTTTCATAACGGCAGGGAAGAAGCTGTTTGTGAACCTGTTTGTTCGTGTTTTCAAGCTTCTGTATCTTCAGCCTGATGGAAGAGGTTGAAAGAGAGCATTACCGGGATGGAGGGGTCTTTGATAATATTGGCAGCCTTTCCCTGGCGACAAGAAGTGTAAATGGAGTCCATGGATAGGAGTTTGGCTTCTGTGATGATCTGGGCTGTGCACACAACTTTCTGCAGTTCCTTACAGTCCTGGGCCGAGCAGTTGCCGTTATGCACCTGGATAGAATGCTTTCTATGGTGCATCTGTAACAGTTGGTGGGGATCCTTATGGGCATGTCAAATTTCCTAAGCCTCCTGAGGAAGAAGAGGCATTGTTGTTTTGCCCATCGCATCTACGTGGGTGGTCCAGGGCATATCGTCGGTTATCATCACTCCTAGGAACTTGATGTTCTCAACCCTTTCCACCTCAGCTCCATTGATGTAGATGGGGATATGTCCTCCTCCTTCCTTCCTGCTTGTCCTTCTATGGAAATGGTCATGGGTTTGGAAGGAGCTGACTAAGGATCTTTGGTGAATTTCTGCTTTCATTTCTCCTTTAAAGGTTGGCAATACATTTTTTCTCAAAACATGTGGGGCTGGGGTGACATAGAGACAGGGAGGAAATCGAAGGAGGGAGGGGGAAAGAGTACAGTGTAACTGGTAAAGGAGAACCACCCAATACTGGTAATAGAAACAAGATAGACTCCCCCTAACAGAGACACACAAACCATTGGATTGTATCCCTGGTATATTTCCCATTAAATGGATTTCTAAAGATAAACATATAACTGTTAGTGTCTGGTGTGTACACAGGACATGCGACATGGGCTGTCTAGGAGTAGAGGGTAAAACTGTTCCCACTGTTGGGAGTGGGGTCATCAGGGATTAGGGGAACAGAGATAACTGAGTAGGGAGGTGGAGATGAGAAGAAATAATTTTATGCAGTGAGTTGTTACAATGTGGAATGCGTAACCTCAAAGGGTAATGGAAGCAAATTCCATATTAACTTCTGCATGAAAATCAGATCGATTCTTAAAAAAGAAGAAAACAAAATGCAAGGTGCTGCAGAAAAAGTAAAGCAAGTGGATCTAATGAGATCATTCTTTCAAGTACCTGGCACAGTCATGCTGGCCTCCTGTGCTGTATGAGACCATGAATCTATAATAACTATGCAGGATCATTATGGCTTTTTGTTTATCTAATATGTTTTGAGATAGGAATGCAATAAAAGTTTAATGGCACTACTTGCAACTTGCTGAATCAGTAAAAGTGTTAGTTCACTAACATATCAAGTGATTTTATGACCTTTTATTTCAGTTACCTTCCATTAATATTATTGTTTGGAGATCATAATCTTGATATTAATGTACATTGATATATCGCTCTGAGGGAACTGTGCAGTAACTTGTCATGTCACTAAATGGAAGATGGTGCCTTTCATATTAAATCTGATTCTTCACCATTGTGTACAGGGAGAATAGGACAAATGGTTGTTTGAGTGTGTCTTCTGTGCACATGTTACATGGATTTACAAAAATAGGCCATTTGAATGGATTGCTTTATATAGGTGTTGATGATCCACACTAACCTCCCCCTGTCCTACTTTATCTCATCCTTTCAGTTGATCCTTCCACCTTTCCTCCCCATGTGCTTATCTAACTGATCACTGCAATACCTCTATGGCAATCATCTCAATCAAACTATGGCTATGACCAGACGGAATAGTCTCAGAATAAAGGGATGCCAATTTAAGACTGAGATGAGGAGGAATTTCTTCTCCCAGAGGGTTGTCAATCTTTGGAACCCCTTGCCCAGTGAGCTTGGGGGCAGAGTCCTTGTGTCTATTTAAAGTTGAGATACAGAGATTCTTGATCAGCCGGGGAATCAAGGGTTATGGGGAAATTGCAGGGAAGTGGATGTGAGAAATGTTGATGAGCCATGATTCTACTGATGGTGAAGCAGGCTTGTGGGGCCGAATGGCCTACTCCTGTTCCTATTTCTGATGGTTTGAGTAGAACGTTCCACATTCTCAACACTTTCTGGGTAAGGACATTCCTTCTGAACTCCTCATTGGATTTACTAGTGTCCACCTTAGATTTGCGTTGTCTACTTTTGGACTTCTTCATAGTTTGCCCTGCCATTTTGTTTCTCAGCATCTCAGGGATAATAGAGGATGTTGTTCAACAATAAGTATCACCCCTAATGGATAATTCCTTCTCCTGACTGTTTATAATTTGCGGACTGTCTGCCAGAAGGTTTAGAATTAGTCCTCATACGGGAAACTCACTTTCTTCATCAATAAGAAACCTTTGAATTCACATTGGATTGTGACAGCAGATTTCGCCTCCCCATTTAATGAAAAAAACTTGCATTTACAACACACCTTTCACCACCGAGTGCAAGGATTCGAGAGACTTGTTTGACAAAGTGACGTTCTTTGATTTACCTGCTAGGAAGGTTCCAATCTCGTAAGTCCACCATTCGATACACAGCATGAGCATGCTGGGAATTGCCAGTCGTACAAAGCTGCCCCACTCCTGCAGGCAATCGGCAGACCATCCTAGATTAACAGAACAGAGATACTGAAATGATATGGGAAGGATGGAATTTTCGCTTTCCAAATTGGGATTGAAGGGAGCTGGGTGGAAACACATTAGCATCAATGACCATTCTGGAGACTTTGTTCCAAATCTGATCATCTCCCCAAGGGAGTCAACAGGGAAAGAGAAGTCACTAACCTTGTTAATCGACCATCTTTAGTTCATTGAGGAGCTCGTTAAGCCCTTGCTTTCGGACTTCCTGGGATTTACATGAAGTGGGAAGCCATTAAACGTTCTCTAAAGCTAGCCCATAGCAACATGAAGGGAACAATGATGGGAAAGTGCAAGAACAGTGTGGCACGGTGGCTCAGCAGTTAGCACTGCTGCCTCACAGCGCCAGGAACCCAGGTTCAATCCCACACTCGAGTGACTGTCTGTGTGGAGTTTGCACGTGCTCCATTCTGGTTGGTTCGGTTTCCTTCCCCCAGTGCAAAGATGTGCGGGTTAGGTGGCTTGGTTGTGCTAAATTGCCCATAGTGTCCAGGGATGTGTAGGTTAGGTGGATTAACCACAAGGAATGCAGGGTTACAGGGGTGGAGTAGGTCTGGGTGGGATGCTCTTTGGAGAGTTGATGTGGTCTTGTTACACTGAATTACTTGCTTCTGTAGGGATTACTGAACAATGTGATTTTAAGCAAAATAATGGGAAGTTTTTGTGCAAGGAAAGAATCATTGAATCCCTACAGTGTGAAAACGGGCCCTTTGGCCCAACAAGTCCACACTGACCCTTGGAGCATCCCACCCAGACCCATCCCCCTATAACCCACACACCCTTGAACGCTACAGGCAATTTAGCATTGCCAAACCACCTAGCCTGCACATCTTTGGACTGTGGGAGGAAACCCATGCAGACACAGGGAGAATGTGAAAACTCTGCACAGACAGTCATCCAAGGGTGGAATTGAACCTGGGTCCCTGGTGCTGTGAGGCTGCAGTGCTAACCACTGAGCCACCATGCCACCCCCAAAAGCATCAAGAAGAAATCCAATTTTAATAAACATCCTTTCCAAAACCTCTCCTGGGTTCCAATTCTCCATTTGCCCTGATGACTTTGAACATGAAGAATGTTTCATTTTCTTAAATCCCACAATGATCAGGGAAGATGGATACAGAGCTGTCTCTAGGGTCTTAAAGGCCCTAATGCTGGGTAGATTGGAGTTTCATAGAGAATCTCTCATCTGGGACATGTCAACCACCTAGAATCAATCTTTCCTCTTGATTCCTATCTCTGAAAGGAAAATCCAGCCAGAGATATCTGAGAATAATCAGATGAAGGGACAGTAGGAGCAGGGAAACATCATTCAACCCTCTCAGTTCAACTTAATATTTGGGTCAGAGTCACGCCACCATGAAGTGAATGTTATTCAAATTATTTGCACTTCTCTTTTGCATCTTTTAATGGGTGGCATGGTATTGACACAATTAAAGACCTACAAACCGATCAGCTGCGTGTTTTTCAACTGGAAAAAGGGGCATGTCACTATACTGCTAAACATAGAGACAAAGTTGAAGCTTTCTGTCTTGCCCCTGTCAGGATGAAAAGAAAAGAAATAGATTTGCAGAAGAAACATCAATTTAAAGAGCATGAGAGGAGAACGCTGACTAGTTGGACTGTTGTTGGCTTCGAGGTGCACCAGGATCAGTTAACTGTCAATCTTTAGACCAGAGAGGCAGCCTCTGGCTGGTCTAAGAACTGTGAATGTTTCCTGCTGCATATCTATGCCAATGATATCCAACCAATCTACACCCTCTTCCCATGCTGTAGAAAATTGTCGTTCCCTTTAATTGTTGGGTTCTTGCCTCTTAGATTCCACTATTCTGATTGCCCAGTTATAGAAGGATATTAATAAGCTGGAAAGGGTTCAGAAGAGAGATACACCAGGGTGTTACTGGGTATGGAAGGTCTGAGTTATAAAGAAAGACTGGATAGGCTGGGAGTTTTTTCACTGGAGCACAGGAGATTGAGAATGAACCTTATAGAGGTTTGTAAAATAATGACAGGTATAGATTGAGTTCATGGTATTTGTTTTTTTCCCTAGCATAGGGGATTCCAAGACACAAGGGGCACATTTTTAAGGTGAGAGGAGAAAGATTTAAAAAGGACATGAAGGGCAACTTTTTTACACAGAGTTCATGTGCGGAATGAACTTCCTGAGGAAGTGGCGGATGTGGGTACAATTACGACGTTTAAAAAGCATTTGCATAAGTATATGAATAGGAAAGGTTTGAAGGGATATGGGCCAGGAGCAGGCAGGTGGGACTAGTTTAGTTTGGGATTATGGTTGGCATGGACTGATTGGACCGAAGGGTGTGTTTCCATGCTGTATGATTCTGACTCCATGGCTCTATGAAAGGTGTTCACTTTGTATCTCATCCGAGTAAAATTTAAAGTTCTGTAGTAGCAAGCAATTATTTACATGCTGCTCGGTAAATGTATTATCTGGTGTGCTGCTGAAACATACAGGTCAGGAACGTTTTGTCTGTGATCTCGGACCAAGCTGACGGCAGAGTAGGAAGTTCACAGAGCTCCTCTGCTCTGCCTGTGCTTTTCCCTTCTCTCTTTTCTTTCTACTTTTCTGGAGTTTTGTTTTTCAAGCTTTTAATTTTAAATTTACTCAAAGGGGAATGGAGGAGGCGACTCCCAGACTGGAGGCCATTGCAGGCAGACCAAGCCAGCGTGGGAGGCGAGTCCCAGACCAGACCAGCGTGGGAGGCGAGTCCCAGACCAGACCAGCGCAGGAGGCGAGTCCTGAAGGCAAATCCCGGATCAGCAGCCAGCACGAGAGGCTGGTACGGGGAGGCGAGTCCCGGACTGGAGCCTGGCACAGGGAGGCGAGTCCCAGACTGGAGCCTGGCGCAGGGAGGTGAGTCCCGGACTGAAGGACAGCGCGAGGAGGCGAGTCCTGGACTGGAGGACAGCGCGGGGAAGCGAGTCCCGGACAGGAGGACAGCGCGGGGAGGTGAGTCCCGGACTGGAGGACAGCGCGGGGAGGCGAGTCCCGGACTGGAGCCTGGCACGGGGAGGCGAGTCCCGGACTGGAGCCTGGCGCAGGGAGGTGAGTCCCAGACTGGAGCCTGGCGTGGGGAGGCGAGTCCCGGAATGGAGCCTGGCGCAGGAAGGTGAGTCCCAGACTGGAGCCTGGCGCGGGGAGGCGAGTCCCGGACTGGAGAACATTTCCACAATGGATGACATTAGGAACGGTGGAAATGACAACACCATCAGATACAGCTGCAGAATAGGCTATTTCATTCATTGGTTCTGGTCCATATTTTAATATGGTCATGGCTGATCTGGTAATCATCCACTCCACTTCTGTGTCTTTGCCCTGTAACCCTTGTTTCCCTCACTAATTAAAAATCTCAACTTTGAATATACTTTCTGACATAGCCTCAACTGCCCTGCTGAGTTTCTCCAGCAATTTCTCTGTTTGCTTGTTTCAGTTTTGCAGTTCTTTATTGTAGTTGGCTCGCCGAGCTGGTTCGTTAGTTTGCAGACGTTTCATTACCCTGCTGGGTAACATCATCAGTGCAGCCTCCAATGAAGCGCTGTTGTGTTTTCCCATCTGGTATTTAAACTCTGGGGTCCGTTGGAATTGATTACCTCACTTCCGGTTTTCCTTCGCAGCGGTGTGTATATATAGGGTCTAATTCTACACGTTTATTGATGGC